TTGTTTTGTCGACAGAACTGAATGTAGTCTAGACGCTCTTTGTCGACAGAAGCTTTGTCGACAGTATCTATCGACAAAACTTCTGTCGACAAAACCCTGTAGTCTAGACATACCCTTAGAGCCCCTGAGATCTACCAGTAGATCGCGATCTACTGGTTGGTGACCACGGTATTACACGGTGTGAAACGGATCGTTTCCTCCTGTGTGACAAGCCACTGGCGTTGCAATATCCTGAGGAAACGGATATGGGAGGACAGCGATTCAGAAGTGGTAGAGTTGGCTGAGAAATGGCTTGTTATGGTTGGTTTGGTTTGAATCATGTATTATGGAACCCAAAATATTTTGGTTTTTCTTTATTTCAGTTTTCATTTTGCTCCCTTTTCTCCTTTGAGAGAGGATGAGGGGAATAAATATTTGTATTCCTCTTGAGGAGGCATTCTCAATTTGAATAAATTAGATTTGTTTAATTTAGTATCTATTTCACTGAAAAATTAGTATTAACGCATTGTACAAGCGAAATGTGGTTTGGGGGCATGGAGAGGGACAAAGAGGGGTGAGGTAAAAAGTTTGGGGGCAATTTGACTGGCTTTGAGCTCCCTACTGTAGAAAGGGTTCAAGTGCCCCCGCAGACAATACAAGACCAGACTATACCTATGGCGACCATATTGCCTGCTGCTGCCCCCATATCCGTCACACCCCTCTGTTGTCCTGGCTCCTGCTTTTCTCACTCCCCTCATTCCTTTCAGGACCTGCTCCCTCACCTGCACCAGCTCTTCTCTTACCCCTGTGCCCACTCCTCCTCTAGCCCCATCTGATCAGCTGTAGCTGCCCCTCCCCATCCCCCTTCCTAACACCTCACTGCCCACCTGCCCTGCCTCTGTCCTCTGGTGCCCATCCCTCCACTCCAGTGTCCTTCTACTCCCTGGGCACCTGAACCTTCCTTTATCCCTTCACCTTCCTGTTGCCTCCCATTCCCTGACTGCCCTCCTTGCCCCCTTTCTCCCTGGCACCCACCCTCTCACCACCCTCTGCCCCAGTTCTCCTCACTGCGCCCTCACACATGACTTGCTCCAATCCCTGCCTTCCATATGCCCACCCCTCCTCTCAACCCCCCCTCTGAGCACCCACTTCTCCCCTCTCCTCTTCCTCCCTCTTGTCCTCAGTGCCCCACCCCTCTCCTCTCCTAGCATCATGCTGTCCCTTCCCTTCTCCCACTCCCAGGTACACCTTCCCTCCCTTTTCCCTTTTCCCACAGGCTGCTCTGTGTGGCAGAGTGCTGCAACTGCAAAGCTAGTGCACCAAGAGACCGTATCTACACTAGGGAATGATTTCAAAATCACTAAATTCGACTCAATAACTCCCAATTTTACATCATCAAAATAGCGTGTCCCACTGCAGGGCATCCCTGCTATACACCCAAGATGAGTTCCAAATCATGGGGATATAGAGCGAAACGACGTAAAGCAGGGATATTTTTCCCCTGTTGTTGACTTCCATTTGCACTAATTGGTCTCTTTTTCTTCTGCATGACATAAGAGTGGGGACTGGGAGGACGTATATCGCAACAATTCCTACAAGGGTCAACAATGTTAGTGCGGAACCGACGTATACTGGGGAGACATATAGCGTGGGAGGACGTATATCGCAACAATTCCTACAAGGGTCAACAACGTTAGTGCAGAACCGACGTATACTGGGGAGACCTATAGCAGAGATGCCCTGTACAGGGAAGCCTCAAAAATAGTCCAAGGCAGGCTCCGTTAATGAGGACGTGCTACCTCGACTGAGAGCTCTGGTCCAAGGCAGGCTCCGTTAATGGGGACATGCTACCTCGACTGAGAGCTCCGGAAAGCCCTGCGGAATAATTAGTTCAAATTTCTCTGGGGAGCAGTTATTTTGAAATAATGGCACTGGAGCGTCCACACTAATGCTATTTCGAAATAGCTATTTCAAAATTAACAGTATTCTCCGAGGAAAGCAGGAGTCCAGATTTTTAAATAAGCAGCCCATTATTTGAACTAAGGGATTTGTTAGGGTGCATGCTCCGCCTATCAATTCAACCTAAGGGGGGTTATTTTGGAATGAAGTCCTAGTGCAGGCCAGGGGTAAGTGTCTTGCCCTGCCCGTGTGGACACCTTGAATGTCACAGTGCTGGGGGCTGATTTACTGCACAGTGACTTGTCAATGTAGACTTGGCCTTAATGCTAGTCAGTGTCCTGCTCACTGTGGTCAGTTTTCGTTTTCTCCTTCCTGTTGTATAGATGAAGTTTCAGGGAAGATGAAGGTTCCCTCCATCTGCCAGAGCGCCAGAGCCAGCTCCCCTCTGCCTGGTTTTCTTCTTTTCTTCCTGACTTGTTATGTGCGCAGCATGGAATCAGGTAGGACCCTGCACTGAGTCTGCTGTTTCTTAGAAGGTTTATTTAAGTCCTGAAGTGTTTTTACAACATGCACAACTTGGAGTCAGTGGAACTTCTCCCAGGGTGCGTCTACACTGCACCGTTATTTCGAAATAACAATGCAGGCATCTGCACAGCCATTCCTTTCTTTCGAAATAATTTCAAAATAACAGGCGGCTTATTCCGAAATCTGTAAACCTCATTCTATGAGGAATAACGCCTCTTCTGAAATAGCTATTTCGAAATAAGGCATGTGTAGACGCTCCACTGCTGCTATTTTGAAATAGCCCCTCCCCAGGGCCGTTCTAAGTTATTCCTCCCCAGTGTGTCCTGGGGCTCTAAATCGAGATAGCACATCTACATGAGGGGAGCCTGCCTCGGACTAGTTTTGAGGCTTTCCTGCAGTGTAGATGTGCTATTTTGAATGAAGCATGCGGTGTAGCCATACCCGCAGTGTGTAAACATAACACAGCAAGCTCAGTGTAACTGGGGGGATGGCCCTGCTACTGTGGGAACTCTCCTGGCTTCTGTAATACCCCGGTGAGATGGGTTAGTGACAGGATCTGAGTCCTCGCTCCCAGGCCTTGTCTACACTGTGGAGGTAAAGAACTCCCCTTATTTTGAAATACCAAGGTGAATGTCCAGTCGATGAAGCCTGTTATTTCAAAACAACAACGCCTGCTTGGGAAGAGGAAAAGGCTTATTTCAAAATAGTTAGTTGGGGAATTAATTATTATTTGGAAATCACCTGGCAGTGCAGACACAGAACCCAGCGGCCTCCCTGACCTCGAGGGCTCCACTTCCACTTCCCTTGTGGCAGAGTCCTTGGAACTCAGCAAGGCTGGGCCCAGGGTTCCTGCGGGACTAAATCTAAGGTGGGGGCTGAGTTGCCCTCATTCCAGGGTGCTATCTCCGCACTGGGCACTTCCCTGACTCACTGAGCCATGTGTACAGCTCAGAGCAAAGATCCGTTATTAAGCAGCGATCCATTAACAAAAGAATAAGTAAAAAATGGGGAATGTTAAAGGAAATCCCGTCAGCCTGCCCCTGACTGTGCCACAGGGATGCCGGGGGTCGGACACTTGCTCTGGCGGTGGCCACGTGCCCTCAGGCTCCAGGTGGCAGGAATCTTCTCTCCAGTATTAGCTCCCTCAGCTGGGGTCCTCCTCCAGTCTCACCTGCAAGGCACATTGGCTGGTGGCATCTCCTTGTGCCAGCTCTCCTCCCAGTAGCTCCAGGGAATACAAACTACAGCAAATAGGACTGGTTTTGTGTGTGCCACTGACTGAATGTACAAGATCTTCTCTCTGAGCTTTTCTCCCTTCTCTCCTGGGACATTCCACAGCACAATTTACATTGGTGGGACCTGACCGGCCTGTCACGGCCGTGGTGGGGGAGGACATCATGTTACCCTGTCACCTGGCCCCCAGGATGAGCGCTGAGAACATGGAGATGACTTGGTTCCGGTCCAAGCTCTTCCCATTTGTCCATCGCTATAGCGATGGAAAGGACCAGTATGGAGAGCAAATGCCAGAATACCAGCGGAGGACACAGCTCTTGAAAGGTGGTCTGACCCAGGGGAATGTTACTTTGAAAATTCTCCATGTCAGAGTCTCAGATGAAGGGCGGTACAGCTGCTTTGTTCAAGATGGTAATTCTTTTGAAGAAGCCATCCTGGAACTGCAGGTGTCAGGTCAGTAGCGTGTGTCTGTACGTCTCTCGGGGATGGCGCCGAGTGAGTTGAAAGATTTGAGCATTTTACCCATGGTCTGTTCCCAAGGTGGCTCATTTACTTGTACCAAATGTGGAGGCAAGCGGAGAAGGTGCCCCTGGATTATGACACCTTCTTCCCGGGTGTGGTAAATAGACCCAAACAGGGACACAAAACCCGATTTCCCATGGTCACGTGGTTAAATCTAATGCCCAGGAATGGCTTTTCGTTTCCCGAGATAATTGGCCAATATGCAAATTCCTCTGTGGGGGGGCGACGGCCCCACTCTGGCTGGGAAGGGTCAATGCAGGCTGGAGGGGGCCTGGGCAGAGCCCTGGCCAATTGGGGAGGGGTTTGAAAGAGCCGAGCAGGGTGCAGCTTGCTGGGACAGCCCTATAGAGAGAGCTGCCTGCAGAGAGTCAGTGAGGCCCTGGCCAAGGAGGGTGCAGGGCCTGGCTCCCTCAGAGGAGGCACCGTCAGTAGAGCAGGGCTGGGCAGGCCCAGGGGGCTAGAGAGGGAGGCTCCAGCCTGGTCCCTGCCCAGCGGTGGCCTTGTTACATGGCCAGGAGGTGCAAAGGGCCAGAGGGGAAGTGGCCAGGGAGCGAGAGGCAGTGGGGGGAGTAGAGGGCAGGACAAGGCCCTTCACTGAAGTCTCTGAAGTTTGATCTTCACGTGCCGGCTCCCCTGGCCCTTTCCATGTGAAGTGGCAGCAGGGAAAGTGATGCAGACTGATCAGTCCCTTCTCCTGCGGGTCAGACCCAGCGTCTTTGTGCTCTGGCTCCCCTGACCCCTAACATTGCAGAGCGCCCGGAGGGAGGGTACGATGGACTAGTCGATAGTGCTAACTGGTAAGCTCCTGCTAATCAGTTAGTCGGCTAGTCGACTGATTGCTGACATCCCTAATCTAGAACAGAGAACCACATGACTTACTGCCCTGGAACGCACTGGTGTCACCTTGGGAGGGTCCCTTGCTTTCTGGAGAACACGACGCAGAACTAGGAGGAGGAAGAGTTCATCCCATGGTGGGCAGTTCTCTACTGATTCTCATCAGTCAGGCGGTTGAAGATTGTGACGGGGTGAAGGTCACAGACGACCTTTTGGGGGTTCTTCTGGGGTGCTGACATGGCGACTGCCACTAGCCTTCCCGCTCTCTGGGGCTCCTCCCTGCCCGGTCCTGCTGGGCCAGCTCCCTGGTCTTCCCCAGCCAAGGCCAGTTAGGGAGGTCATGTGATTTCCTAAGACCAACCACTGCTATGACTTACAGACAAAAGCAAAATGCAGGACAATGTAG